TCTGGTACACTTTCTAGTTTACTGTCATCTACATCCTGGCCTACTGAGTCAGAGTTTACAACTTCCTGAGTTTCAGCCTCAGTTTCATCCCTGACTATAGCCTCCGCCTCTTGTATATTAGAATTGTTGTTCCTCTCCCACTCCTTCTGGATGGCTGGTAGGCTTCCAATGAATGATGTTTTCCGATCATGCGTCATGTTATCTAGAAGGTTTTTTAGGATATTCCAAGCTGGCAGGTCATTTTTACACACCCAGAGCAAGTGGCCAGCTCTCAGTGCCGTAGTGTTACTCACTCCTGTACAAGCCGAATGGAATCTAGTCTTACAGATATAACATTCAATTCCCGTTACCTTCGTCTTTAAGAAGTTGTTACAGTGACCACACATTTGTTTATTTACTCCCATTTTGCCTTGTTTTGTTGTATATATCTATATATTTATAATATTATATGTATATTGTATATTTGTAACAATATATATGTATATATATATTGTTATATATTGTTATATATAACAATATTATATATTGTATATTATATGATATGTTTAATTGTATATTGTATATTATATGATATGTTTAATATTTATAGTATTATATGTATACCGTATATTTGTAATATTATGTATGTTATTTTGTTCAAACTTTATGGCAGGCACTTAGTGTAGGGTAGCGAGGCTGGTCCCCGGTCGGTACAGGTGACCTCTTGTTGTCCCAGGTTGATGTCACCAGTTTCCAGTTACCCGATTTATAACCACTGATGCCGCCTCTTGCCACTATTCTATATTTCTAGTATTCTATATTTATAATATTCACTTCCAACTTATATGTTGTTGTGATACCTGTTCCACATCACTGTTCCACGAATCACCGTTCACTATTTTTTTTCCTAATACACGCATGTACACAAAGCCTCGTTCACTGGCTCACACGTGGTCTTACGTTTATTCTCTATTTAACACAAAATTCTATTGTTATTGACTATTTTCAATTTTCCAGCGGGTCACTATGCACTTTGTTATGTCTGTAATCAGTAATCCACAGCAGTAGTCCTAAGAATCCCGGTTAATGTCACGATTTTAACGGAGCGCGCACGGTACGTCTTCCCCCTCCCTCAAATACAACTGCCTCCATGGAACCTACCGTTAAGGAAGGTCTGTTCACACCTTCCTTCAGCAGGGGCTCGAACTTGCGGTGTTCTCTTCCAAGTTTGACTGTCCACAGCAGCTTCTGATGATAGGCCAGCGTGCATGAGGCAGGGAAGAGAAGCCTCCATCTCCGCTGACCCTCACCTTCCTGACATCGTTCTGTCCGTTCGTTGACACTGGTTTGATCAGTCTCGGCGTCGTTCTTCATTCTCTTGTCGTTTCCGTTATGTGTACTATCACTGTTAACACTACGCCTTACATCCTGTCTTCTCCGTTTCTTCTGTTGCCTGGTTAGAACTTTTTGAAACTCGCCCTCCTCGACTGACTGGCTGCTTTCTGAGTCCATGTTAATATTGCCGTGGGAAGTAGCCAGTTCTTCTGGTGACTGAATCTCCATCTCAGTACCCAGCATGGAGGGAGATGTGTAGAATGCGATTAATACTAGTCAGTCTCCTGTGTGTAGACTGCCATAGGAAATTGTTCGAGTAAGAAAGGAAATTTGAATTCAAAAGTATCTAACGTGATCAATTTATCAAAATTACTGTTTAAAAATAATTTGCGGAAAGTGTCATCAATCATTACAATGAAAATGTAAAACAACAAATTAACTTTGTTAATTTAACACAGTTAATTCCATCCCATTTTGTGAGATGGAAAACCATCTCTAGAAATGAGATATATATTGCATTAACTATAAAATAAGTTCATTATTAATAATTCCGATTAACCATACAAGAATTAAATTTAGGAATGATATACTGCTCTTTGATTTGGAAATTTAAGAATTAACTAATATCTTTTAAAGATTTCTCCAGGCCAGGGAGAGTACACTCTTTTAAATTAACGAAACTAAAAAATACAATTGACAATTTACTACAATAAAACAAAAAAACGGCCAACCTACTCATGAAAACTCCCCAGACACCGAAGCAGAACGCCTTGAAGGAAACCAACGTTGTCTATGCCTTCACATGCCCACTTGAGGACTATAAGCCCCAAAAAACTCAATATATAGGCAAGACAACGTCTCTTTCTAGGCGATTAACAAGGCACAAACAACAGAGCTCCATCAAGGAACATATAATCTCTTCTCACAACCAGACCATCACCAGAGAAATCTTAACAAGCAACACAGAAATAATCGATAAATACAGCGATAGCAGGAGACTCGACATCAGCGAGGCACTACACATCAAAAAGTCAACACCAGCAATCAACAGCCTATTAACGCATAACTATATCCTACCCACTTGAAGACACCGAACCAACATAGGAGCAGCAAGAGAAAGTATGAGCCAATAGGCCTTCTGCAGTTACTTTCATTCATAACTGAATGAATGCCTTTTATACCCAATTAATATCCACCTCACCCAAAATATTTGTCATATCGCCTTACCAAAACAAATAAAAAGCATGATGTATGTTATGTGTGAACCAAGTCTTTTAAATGTAAGCCGCCTTACAAAACACTTCTAGGTGTCAGACCTAATATAAAAATGTAAAAAGAGTTAATTTTGGAGATTTAATTTTTCAATTATCCTCGATAGTGAAGAAAAACGTAATATTGAGAAGATTCGTGTTAGAATTATTATTCTTACCCTTTCGGTCATATTCAACATTATATATATATAATGGCAAAAGATGGCTAGAAGCCAAAGATATACTTAAAACACTTTTTGGGACTTCAATATCAGACGTGTTGATAAAAATTTCACCAGACTTTTAAGAAAAATAAGAATTTTGAATCATCCTCTTGTTTTATGTAATATATGTTGATTATATGTTTAGAAGTTTGTAAAAGAGACTAAAACATTAATATTCTTTTAGTTCTACATTAATTCCACATAAACATTATTTGTGATTCTTACACTTAATAATTATTACCTGAACACATCATTACTCACTAGCTTACAAGTGAAAACGTAACACGCTTGACAACTGTTGTCAACTTGACCACCCTATTGGCTCCTAAACAGACGCTAACCAATTTTCTACTGGTTAAAGGTAAGCAAGCATATCTATGATGGACTACGAAGCATGGAGGAATGTGGGGAGTGTTCTACTTGATTCCAAAGGAGTGCTGTACTTGCCATTCAGTTTTTACGTGGAATTAAGGTCTAGCTCTTTATGCCCCGCCTGCTATCCTTTTGTATCTGTTGTCTTATACCGTAGATATTCTGATGCTCAAATTCTTTGCCGAATATGTCCTTCAAGTTGTGAGTGGAGATCGTTTACACAACTTCTAGTGTATTTCACTTGTTTTGACCACACGTCTTGGGTACGAGTGGAACCATTCCTTAACTGGCATCTAATTATAATTATACTTTCCCACATTTGTTGAATTTTGCACCTGTTAATGTATTATATAATTATAGTGTTACATTTGTGGTTTTACTCGCTTTCAAAACTCTTATTGATGCAGGTTATTGACTCATTTTGATGTCTCTTCAGTGAGAGGCTGAGGGGAGGCGGGCTCAGGCCAAATATGAGTAGCTACAATACCTGGCGAGAAGGTGGCAGAAGCATAACACGCCCCTGTTACGGAACCGTAACTTGCAACAATAACAAATATCTTTAATAAAACATTTTTACAATCCAAGAAAAATAGCAACGATGACATTATAAGAGAATTACTACCCATAAAACTCTGCAGTAATATTTGATAACCATATTGTGATATACGAGACTATAGAGTTCGACAAGGTGGGCAATGATGCCCTGTTATAATTTACTGTAACGAGGGATCGTCGATGTACACTGGTGGAGAGGCATCTAAGCCAAAGAAATGTCAGAATAAACTTTTTTTTTCAGTGTACGATTTTAGTCACTTGAAAATGGAGCATTGTCGAAGGAAATTCCATGCACAGATCCAAAGGCATATTCAAAAGATGTGAAGAAGTAAGTCACTCCATTATCCAACTGACAGCTGGAAACGTGGATCTCAGGAGCTAAAATGTGCCTCAGCAAGTACATTTAGGTGAATATATCTAGATTATTCCACCCACAAACCTGACTCGAATATAATTAACTATTAATATTTATGCATATTATGTCAAAACAAATTCTTAACTTGACTAAGATCATTTGGCAGTAATTTAATCATTGGGAAGTTAATATCAAAATTCAAGTATGCATAAATTACATCAGTCAGGATACCAGCATAGCGCGTGGTTATCATTATCATCTAACAACAATCAAGAATTTTATCGTAACATTAATCATTGGAGTAATGGCTGAAACAAACAGGTGTACAACAATCTAAATGAAACTTACTATTTGGGCATAGTGTGAGTAATATTTTCTTAAAAATTTGAAAGGCCATACATATTGAAAAAACAGTGTGGATTACAATTAGTGAGGTAAAACAAGATAGAGGCTCAGTTTATATAGCAAAATTTGGATTACGAGAAGACGATTAGAACTGGAACTAATATAAACTAAACATACCATCAAGTTGCAGACATGAACACACCCTGGGCCTTCTACAGACTCTGGTGCTATTATACGCATCACAGTTATTTTTTATGAGAGATACGCACGTCTAATATATTCAGTAGTTGAAACTCATCCCCAGGCTCCCTGTCCTCATATCACAGGGACCTTAGATGCAAGGTTAGTGCGTGAAGTCGCTGTACAGACTCCTGGACGTCCTGCGCCCAGCTAGCTTATCATCCCTGTAATATGGCTTGCTGAATCTTCAAATTTCGGCGGAGTTAACAAAATCCAAATATAAATGCCTTCTACTCATTCTTACAGCCATCTTCAGCATTACAGGAACGTTTTAACAATATTAAACCATTACGTCCATATAACTCGTGTGTCGCAACAATATATGATGTGTTTCTTCTGGTGCAGGCGGATATGCGTTCGTCTCCACCTCGGACATGTTGCGTTCACTGCAGCGGCCTAAGAAGGCCTGGATGACCACACGGCCCACCAACAACACCGGTGCTCTAGGAATGTGTCTACAGTTCTCCGTAAGTACCTACGCTATTTCTCTCACGTTGTGCAAAGTGCTAGTCAATTTACATCAGTGGTATTGACCGGAGCGGAAGATAGGGAACTCCACTTCCAACCCTTGAGTGGGAGTGGGTGTGATGTACAACTTGCACAGGGGTACCAGCTCCGTGCCTTCCAGATGACACGAGAATTCAGTTGAACTTTTGTTTGTGACACTTTTAGCTGGTCATAAATGTGTCGGTAATACTCGTGACTGAGTAGAAGGAACGCGAGTTCCGTTCACCATTTTGCTACCATTTCTGTCTCTATCATTTGTTCTCTCTCTCTCACATCTATCTCTCATCTCTCTCGGCTCCCTCTTCACTCGCACTCTCACTTTCACTCGTACTCTTATTCTCTCATTCTCACTCACTCCCACTCACTCTTACTCTCTCTCACTCTCACTCATTCTTACTCTTACTCTCAAGCTTACAAACACACTCCTAAACTCTCACACTTACACACCTAAAATCTCACAATCTCTCTCTCTCTCTCTCTCTCTCTCTCTCTCTCTCTCTCTCTCTCTCTCTCTCTCTCTCTCTCTCTCTCTCTCTCTCTCTCTCTCTCTCTCTCTCTCTCTCTCTCTCTCTCTCTCTCTCTCTCTCTCTCTCTCTCTCTCTCTCTCTCTCTCTCTCTCTCTCTCTTTTTCACACACACACACACACACACACACACACACACACACACACACACACACACACACACACACACACACACACACACACACACACACACACACACACACCGAACCTCTCCCTAGAACCACACACCAAAAGGATATCATCAGCGGCATATGCTAGATTGACCAACATAAGAACTGCCTTTAGAAACTTGTGAAAGGAATTGTTCAGGACCTTCTCTTATCTTGAAGTTATCTTGAGATGATTTCGGGGCTTTAGTGTCCCCGCAGCCCGGTCCTCGACCAGGCCTCCACCCCCAGGAAGCAGCCTGTGACAGCTGACTAACACCCAGGTACCTATTTTACTGCTAGGTAACAGGGACATAGGGTAAAAGAAACTCTGCCCATTGTTTCTCGCCGGCGCCTGGGATCGAACCCAGGACCACAGGATCACAAGTCCCGCGTGCTGTCCGCTCGGCCGACCGGCTCCCCTTGTATACAACTTATGCCAGACCAATCCTAGAGTATGCAGCTCCAGGCTGGAAATCATTCCTTGTTAAAAACGACAACGTTAGAGAAGATTGAGAGGCACGCCACCAGACTAGTCCCAGGACAGGGAGGTATGAGGTACGAGGAAAAGCTTTGAGAGCTAAACCTGTCGTCCCTGCAAGAGAGAAGAGTAATGGGAGACATGATAACCACCTATAAAATTCTCAGGGGAATTGACAGGGTGGACAAAGACAAACTATTTAGCCTTGATGAAACACTGTGGGACATAGGTGGAAACATAGTACCCAAGTGAACCACAGAGACATTAGAAAGAATTTTTTCAGAGTCAGAGTAGTTAACAAATGGAATGCATTAGGCAGTGATTTGGTGGAGGCTGACTCCATACACAGTTTCAAATGTAGATTTGATAGAGCCTAATCGGCTCCCGAATCTGTGCACCAGTTGATTGTCAGTTGAGAGGCGGGACCAAAGAGCCAAAGCTCAACCCCCCCCAAAACAACTAGGCGAGTACAACTAGGTGAGCGAGTGAGCGCGTTCTCGCGTGCGCGCGCGCGCGCGCGCACACACACACACACACACACACACACACGTTGAGAAGTTTCCTAAGTGATATACCATTGGACACAGACCTCAGAGCTAAGTCTGTACAAGACATGATGGACTATGTCACCCCAAAGTGTCAGGAGGCAGTAAATAGGTTTATCCCGGCCCAAAAGAAGAAAACGAGAAGCAAAAGAAGACTCCATGGTTTAATATGGCATGTATGGAAGCAAATGAAATGAACAAAAGGGCCTGGAGGAACTGTGAAGAGGTGTGTGAAGAACTCGACAAGAGGTTCCAGGAGGTCTTCACAATAGAACAAGGTGAGGTCACTGTGCTAGGAGAGGGGGCAGTAAACCAGGCGGCCTTGGAAGGATTCGAAACTACGAGAGATGAGGTCGAGAGACACCTGTTGGATCTGGATGTGAGAAAGGTTGTTGGTCCAGATGGGATCTCAACATGGGTATTGAAAGAGTGTGCAGAGGCACTTTGCTTGCCACTCTCCATAGTGTATAGCAGGTCACTGGAGACGGGAAATCTACCAGAAATATGGAAGACGGCAAATGTGGTCCCAATATACAAAAAGGGTGACAGACAAGGGGCACTGAACTACAGGCCAGTGTCCTTGACTTGTATACCATGCATGGTGATCTTGAGGTTATCTTGAGATGATTTCGGGGCTTTAGTGTCCCCGCGGCCCGGTCCTCGACCAGGCCTCCACCCCCAGGAAGCAGCCCGTGACAGCTGACTAACACCCAGGTACCTATTTTACTGCTAGGTAACAGGGGCATAGGGTGAAAGAAACTTTGCCCAGTGTTTCTCGCCGGCGCCTGGGATCGAACCCAGGACCACAGGATCACAAGTCCCGCGTGCTGTCCGCTCGGCCGACCGGCTCCCTATAAATGGAGTGATGGAGAAGATCGTGAGAAAAAAAACTAGTAACACATCTGGAAAGAAGGAACTTCGTGACAAATCGTCAACATGGGTTCAGGAAGGGTAAATCATGCCTTACTGGCTTAATAGGTTTCTACGACCAGGTGACAAAGATTAAGCAAGAAAGAGAAGGCTGGGTACATAAGCTGGAGAGACAGGCAGGAGTAACTGGTAAGGAGCTCCAGTGGATAAGGGAGTACCTAAGCAATAGGAAGCAGAGAGTTACATTGCGGGGTGAGACCTCAGATTGGCGTGAAGTCACCAGTGGAGTCCTACAGGGCTCTGTTCTCGGCCCTATCCTGTTTCTGATATATAAGTAAATGATCTCCCGGAGGGTATAAGCTCATTCCTCTAAATGTTTGCTGACAATGTCAAAATTATGAGAAGGATTAAAACAGAGGAGGACAGCTTGAGGCTTCAAGAAGACCTAGACAAACCGAAGGAATGGTTGTTAGAATTTAACCGAAGCAAATGTAATGTAATAAAGATAGGTGCAGGGAGCAGGAGACCAGATACAAGGTATCATTTGGGAGTTGAAATTCTTCAAGAGTTAGAGAGAGAGAGAGAGAGAGAGAGAGAGAGAGAGAGAGAGAGAGAGAGAGAGAGAGAGAGAGAGAGAGAGAGAGAGAGAGAGAGAGAGAGAGAGACAGAGAGACAGAGAGACAGAGAGACAGAGACTTGGGGTTTGATATCACGCCAGACCTGTCCCCCTGAAGCCCATATCTAGAGGATAATATCAGCGGCATATGCCAGGTTGGCTAACATAAGAACGGCATTTAGAAGCTTGTGTAAGGAATCATTCAGAGCTTTGTATACCACATATGTCAAAGTATAAAGTATAGACGTGGCCGCCTAACCACTGTTATGTGCCGTGTTTATTGGGACATTCTCCCTGAGCGCCGAAAATGAAGTGTTCCCAATTTTTTTTTTATCTTTGTAAAACTATAAATTCCCTTCCCAGAACACGTACGTGTAAAAAAAAATAATAAATTCCACTTACTTTGGCTGTGGGGAAATAAATGCGAAAATAAACTCAGGAAATAAACTCTGAGGAGAGAGAACAAGAACAGGAATTCAGGAAGTTCTGGGAAAAAAATATTCAGGATAAACCCTGAAATAAATTTAAACTTTTGCCCCATTAGTGAAAGGGAAATTACAAATAAAGTAGAGAACAGAGCTGAAGCACTACTCCCTAAGCAAACAATAGACCTCAACAACATCCGCAATGAATGCCACCTTATGAAACACACAACCATTGCAGAGGTCCATAAAACAATTATGGGATTCAAGAACAAGGCGCCGGGCAAATGCAAGATAAATAAGATGGTATTATCCAACCTACCAGTGATTGCACTCCATCAATACACATAATATGTAAATTATTATGTGCATTGAAGCTCTTGCATATGGCCTATTCCCCACATACTTCAAGAAGGCCACAATAAGATTAATTCCCAAGCCAGGTAAACCCCAACCCGAACTGAAAATTACAGGCCAATTTCCCTCCTCGATGTACCAGGCAAAATATTCGAAAAAATAATCAGAGACTTGTGAAGAACATGGAAGAGGAAGAGAAGTATAACACCAGACAACATGGGTTTAGAAACAGCAGAAGGGCCCATACATCTATAGCCTTGATCTATGAGCATATAGCCAACGCAGTGTCGAAAAAAGATCAGAGTAATATAGTGCTTAGAGACGTTTCGAAAGCCTTCGACAAAGTGTCGCACACAGGCCTAAAATATAAGATATCTGAGCTAGAACTTCCTGAGAGATTTACTGCTTCTCTGCAGCTTTACAGACAACAGAACTGCTAGGCTTGATATCGGCTGCTACTTGGGTGACGTAATAGAACTGAAAAGTGGAGTACCTCAAGGAAGCTGCCTCTCCCCCACTCTATTCAACATATATACAGCTGACCTACCCCAACTCCAACATGGAGAACAAATCACATACGCTGACGATGTCACCCAAATAATATGCCAACCGGGACCATCAAAGCCGCTACTAGCCGACAAGACCAAGGCGGCAATTGAACTCATAAACAACTTTGAGAAGCAATGGAAAATTAACACAAACAAAAGTTTCAAATAATACACATTGCGAAAAGAAGCCCAGACCCCATTATCCTTGACAACCATCCGATCCAATATGCGGAGGTAGGCAGAATGCTGGGACTCATGATAAAGAGAGCAGGGATACAAATTCATGTAAGGGACCGACTAAACAAAGCCAAAGAAACCTTAGGAAAATTGAGGAGATTCCGAAGCCTCAGTACAAACATCCAGATACACCTATATAAGGCTAAAGGTTCGGCCGCATCTAGAGTATCCCCCAGTACCGCTACACACCATAAAGAAAACTAAACTAACATGC